GTAGGGTAATGGGGGAAGTAAAACAAGTAGGGCTAGAATTACCATTTTAAGAGCAAGGGATATAGTTGCTAAGTGGGATGTTTACTGATGAACAAGTGAGGAAAAGAATGAGGGCAACAGAAACCCTAAGCAAAGAAAAAGACCTAAAATCTCAGTGGCCATGTGGTGGATCATTTACTTATAGGTCAAGGAGACTTCTTTGGGTTGTTTCTTAAGTCCTCCGGGGGTTCACAGGTGTGGTTGTCCTTCTGGCATTCCTGCAGAGGTTCAGGAAAGAAAGGTTTTATTCTACATAAATGTGTCCAGGATTATATACCAGGTAGCTTGACTGCCGTGGGGGTGGCAAGCAAGATCTGGTGGGGCCTTTCCATTTTGGAGTTAACTGGTCCTCTGGAGAGCTTTCCTTCCAAGTCTTAAGAAGGACCCAGTCCCCATGAGATATATTGGGCCTATGAGAGGATGTGTTCCTGGGGATGGAAGGATTTAATTGTCTTATTTTTGGAGAGCCTGTTGCGCCTATCCTAGATTTGTTACAGAATTTACCAGGTGACCAAAAAATACACAGGAGTAGCCAGAGATACAGGAAAAACCCTATTATTTCCAGATGTACTAGTACCGTGACTCAAGGGAGCCTATTTCCAGATCCTGAGGGAGCCAATATGGAGGAAGCTTTCTCTTTATACCCTTTTGTTTCTTTGTCTCCCAAATAAGGATCAGACTTCCGGACCTTTTGTGGGCCGTGAGACCACACCTAAAGGCCTGGCCTGGCACCAGCACTGCTAATCCCCTCCGGGGGGTGTGTATTGTTCATGGTTTATGGCCTCTGTAAAATGTGGGTATTTAGGTAAACAGGTCTTGCAAGATCAGATAATTATGGGAAGGGGCAGTGACTAGACTACAGGCAGTCCTCGGGTTACATCGGACTCGACATACATTGTTTCGTGGTTACATCGCCATCTCCCATTTATTTATTAAAAAAAAAAAAGTTCCGTCATTTTGATGTATGTACATATGTGCTTTATGTTTTTTATTATTTATTTACCACAAGTAAAGGTCAGGAATTGTTATCTTTCTTTAAAATTTTTTTTTACTGTTTCACTTCATTACTGCTGTGTATGTCTCCACGTGAGTGACATAGTTGCTTATGTAGGTGGGTTCCGACTTACGGAGAAAATCACATTATGTCGCGCTGTAGGAATGGATCTCCGGCGTAACCCGAGGACCTACTGTATAGGCTAACAGGAATGTGCATTAGGGATACTAATTAACTAGGTACAGAGTAAGGCTGCTGGACTCCCTGCCCCCCTCCAAAAAAAAAAAAAAGTCTTATTTTTCTCATGAGGTTGATGATATATTTAAGTTGCTCCTAGACTTCTGGGTCAAAATATATGTCAGAGGTTAGGAAGGGCCTCCTGTATAACATATTAAAAGGGCTTAGTTCTAAGTTTGACTTGGGAGCTCCTCTGTACCCCTGGCATAATTTTGCTAAGATTTTCTTTAAGGTATGCTTAGCCTTTTCTACCTTTTCTGAAGACAGGCCTTTATGAACTATGTAAATGGTAGTTAATGTCTAGGGCTTTGGCTGTTTGTTGGGTGATTTTGGCCACAAAGGAAGGACCCAGGTGATCATACAGTAAAATAAAAATAGTTGTCACTTTGGAGGCTTCAGGCAGTCTAAACCTTGGAATGATTTCCTTAAGGAGGACTCTGGTTACCTCCACTGCCTTTTCAGTCAGGATGGGAAAGGCCTCTACCCATGGAGTAAAAGTGTTTATGAATACTAGGAGATAGCAGATATCCTGGGCGGGAGGCATTTGTATAAAATCTATTTGCCAATCTTCTTCTGGGAAGGTACCCCTTCTCTGCATGTGCTTAAGATGGTGGTGGGGTGCCGGACTTTATTTTATGCCCTGGCTTGTTAACTGAAAAGAGAACACAGGCTTGAGTGACTTCTTTTATGGCTCAACATAGGCCCCTCCCAATGAAGATTTTTTACATTAAAGAATAGGTGGCATCTTAACCTAGATGGAGAGAATCATGAAAGGATTTTAAAATTTTCCATTGATCCTTAGTTGGGAACAGCAGATTTTTGATCTCTAATCTACCATCCTTCATTGTTTAGGGGAAAACTTTGCCCTTCTGCCCAGGTGTTTTCATCAGGGGCATAACTTGGTTTGATGTACAGAGGAAAAATATATAGAATTAGGGCCATAATAGAGGTATCTGACTTGGCAGCCTCCTTTGCAGCCCTGTCAGCAAGGGGATTTCCTTTTCAGCAGTTCTCAACCTGTGGGTCACGAACAATGAAAATACATCCTGCATATCAGATATTTACATTACGATTCATAACAGCAGCAAAATTACAGTTATGAAGTAGCAACGAAAATAATTTTATGGTTGGGGGTCACCACAACATGAGGAACTATATTAAAGGGTCGCGGCATTAGGAAGGTTGAGAACCACTGCTAGAGTTCAGATATTTTAGTTGTGTTCCTTTGATGTCCCTTACAGTGCTGCATGGCTACTTCTCGGGGTAGTTTTGTTTTTGTTTTTGTTTTTATGAATATATATCTTTATTGATTTCAGAGAGGATGGAAGAGGGAGAGAGAGAAAGAAACATCGATGATGAGAGAGAATCATTGATCAGCTGCCTCCTGCACACCCCACACTGGGGATCAAGCCCACAACCTGATCATATGCCCTGACCAGGAGTCAAACCATGACCTCCCTCAAATGTAGTCTCTCTCACTCAAAACATTTTATTATACTGTACTTACCCTTCTTGTGATTATGTAAGATGATAAAATGCCTTCATGATGACATGAAGAGAGGTGAATGAGACATTATTGAGTAAAATAAGTGTTACTTGAACAAAAGCACTTAGATACTACGTCAGTCTGATAACCAATCTAATAACTTAGATGGCTCCTAAGTGATTAACAGGAGGGGAGCATATACAGTGTGGATACCCTGGACAAAGGAATGATTCATGTTTTCAGTCCGTGGTTGACCTTGGATAACTGAAATGACAGAAAGCAAAACTGCAGAAAAGATTGAAATAAATCAGAGGCTCATATAAGAATTGTACATAAGTTGGTATGAAGCATTAGAGCCAGAGTGGTGTTGGCAAAGGAATAGGAAGTAAAGGCTGGTTAGACTATTTGTTGGTAAGATTCCCTTTGGGAGTCTAAAATGGCATTTTGTCCAAGGAACCCAGAAACACTCATATTTTGCTCTTGACAGTTGTTCCTTTCCTCAAATTTCCTAAGAGAGAATGTGAGCACAGGTCAGGAATCAGCAAAACATAATACCATTTTTTTCCTTTATTGATTAAGGTATTACATATGTGTTCTTATCCGCCCATTGCCCCCCCACTCCCCACCCCCACTCATGCCCTCAACCCCCTGCATACAAGTCCTTTGGTTGATCTCTCCCCCTTACCCCCACCCTCTCCCCTACCTTCCCTCTGAGGCTTGACGGTCTGATCGATGCTTCTTTGTCTCTGGATCTGTTTTTGTTCATTAGTTTATGTTGTTCATTATAGTCCATAAATGAGTGAGATCATGTGATATTTATCTTTCTCTGACTGGCTTATTTCGCTTA